TAATCTTAAAAAAGTCTGTGTCTTCATCCAAAACACCACGTGTTCTAAAACCACTCTGCGTGCTGTGATCACTCTCTTTCCACACCCGTGAATTTTCCAGCTCCACACCAAATAGCCTCTCTCCCCCTTAGCAGACCTACCAAGAGGTCTCGTAAGCCGTTCCCTTTTTGTTCTCGGGTAAGGCACCGTCTCTGAGAACTAAAAGGGAACGGCTTACGGAGACCTCTTGGAAGGTCTATTAAGGAGGTGAGAGGCTATTTGGCGTCTAGCTGGAAAATTCACAAGTGTGGGAAAAGAAAGTGATCACAGCTCGCAGAGTGGTTTTAGAACACAAGCTTGATGTTTTGTTTTGGATGAAGACAGACTGTTTGAAGATTATATAATTCCTTTTTCACAACGGGATTGAACTGGATTTATAACATTTTATTTGATGTGACAATACACTTGCTTGTTATATTGTGGAGGTCGGTGCATATACACACACTTGTTTGATATAGACTGGTGATTTAATTGTACACTTCCTCACAATGAGATAGATTTACACAACCTTTATTTGAAATTAATTTGATGTGATTGTTCAATTGCTATGGTATAGAAGTTATCATACACTGTATTTATATTTATCATACTTTGATATTTGCAGCCAGGGATTGGCCTGACAATGCATGGGGCCCCCGGGCAATATGAGATTATGGGGGCCCCTTGTGCTCCACCCTTATACAAGCCCCACCCACAAGCCCCACTCATGTATACATTCATGTGTTACAGAAATTATTTTTCCACACTATTTTCAAAATAGCAGGTCCATTCACTAAAAGGTAAATTGCGGGGGGAATTGGTAGGAGAATTTAAAAAATCTAGAGCAAGCTAAATGGCAGAATGTTTTTAATTTGGTGATTTTGACCTAGATTCTTCAATTTTGACAATTATCCTGGGTGAATTGTAGGAGAATTAGTAGGAAAATTGCCAGGGAACTAAATAATCTAGGACCGGAGCAGGGGGTTTGGGCGCATATTGCACGTGAGGTTTGCAAACTTCCGCCCCCCAGCTCCAGTGTGTGCGGTAAGGCCCCCAAATGGTCAGTCAGCCCATGAACAGAATCAATGCATGGCAAACCTAAAACCAGCACCAATGCAAAGCAGACCTTAGACCAGAACCAATGAGTGGCAGACTACAGGCTAGAACCAAAGCATGGCAGACCTTAGACCAGCACCAGTGCACAGCAGATCTCAGACCAAAACCAATGCATGGCAGACCTCAGATCACCCCCAATGTATGGCAAACCTCAGACCAGAACTCATGCATAGCAGACCACAGACCGGAACCAATGCATGGCAGACCTCAGACTAGAACCAATGCATGACAGACTGCAAAGCAGAGCCAATACACGGCAAACCTCAAACCAGAACCAATGCACAGCAGATCTCAGACCAGAACCAATGCACAGCAGATCTCAGACCAGAACCAATGCACAGCAGACCTCAGGCCAGAACCAATGCATTGCAGATTGCAGACCAGAAACAATACACGGCAGGCCTCAGAATCCTGACTCCTGTCAGCACGACTCCTGTACTGACTCAATGGAACTTTCCCAGCTCACACTGTTACCTTGCCTACTGATAAAAGGAAGCTAATTTAAAGGAGAACTATGAGGTGAGTGATTTACACTCATCCCCATAGTTGGAGCCGACGTGTGACATTGAAACTTTCACATGTCGGCTCTATTGATCGGGCAGTGAACAAAACATACTGCTGTTCATTCACTTCTCAATCATCTCACTGTCAGTCACCACTCCCCACAGGGATTCCCCCCTTCCCCTACTACTACTCAATCGCACCTACTGTTCGTTTTGATGCGCAAGGTGCGTTGCGCTGCCATTCATTTGAAGTCTTCCAATTATTTTGACACGTGAGGCTTCCCTGAAGAAGTCCCATATTAGGGATCCTGCTGGGAGCTTCACTCTTTCTATCGGTCCTGAAGATCACTATCACTGCATCTAAAAGGAAGTGAAAATCCAAACTTTTGAGCTGACACCAGAACAGGAAGTTCTGCAAAGGAAAAGTCTTCAAGTTATTGCAGTGACAACTGTCTAAGCCCTCATTCACACCAAGTGACATAAAATATTCTCGTTTTGTGTAGCACATTTGTGCACTTTTGTTTTGCGCGTTTAACATGTGTATATTAAGTTGCGTGTTTTTGTGAGTAGATTGTGAAACATTGATGTAAATGGGAAAACGGGCATTATACACACGTAAAAACTTACAAGAACGCACAAAGCTTAAGTCTATGGGGTCAAGAAGTGCAGAATCAGCCAAAAAGAAGCTAATGTGCTTTTTTTCCAGCGATAGTTGTGAACATGGCCAAATAAAAGAATAGAGGTTTTTTTTGGGGGGGGGGGAGGGAAGGGGGCATTTTTTGAGCATTTTGTGGGCAGAAAAAGCACTACAAAACGCTTACCGTGAATGAGGGCTAAAAGACAATTTCCCTTATGAGATATTTCATACCAGCCCCACTGCGTTCCGGCCTGATTCGGTGCCGAAATGCGCTGGATTGCATCCCGGCCGGCTCACTGGGTTTTGGGGCACTAGGGGGGCGTGGTGGTGCATTCATGTCAATGGCACCACAGCCACGCCCACCCCAGGCCGCAGTTCAATCGCCCGCACTGGAACACGTGACTTATCAATGCCTGTGTTCCGGTCCGATAAAAAAAAATAGTGCACTGCACCGGGATGCAAGCATTGATGTGCCATGCATTCCGGTGCGGGTAATCGCACTGTGGCCCTCTCCCACCCCAGAACGCAATGAGCCGGCCAGGATGTGATCCAATGCGTTCCAGCCCCGAATTGGGCTGGAACGCACTGGGGCTGGTGTGACCTAGCCCTACTTCCTGTTGTGTCTGCAGGATGGAAAGTGAAGGAAAATCTCCATTTGAATTAGTATGGAATAATGTGCAGCTGTATGCTGCAAGGTGATTTCCTCATTGGCTAACGTTTGTGCAGCTCACCAATTAATTTGAGGCAAGTCATACAGAGATCTGCCCTCGGATAGGCTCATTTTTATTTTTAAACCTCTCTCTTTGACAAGGCAAGCTGTGATTCTGAGGAAGGGGGCATGCCCCTGAAACGCGTAAATCCAGCCTTAAAGCAGACGGTGGCACTAGATTGCATGTAATCCACCTTAAGTGGTGAGCTTAAGGTGGAGCTTCTGACGTCACTGCAGAGTATGGCGATGTGACCGGAGGCAGCTTTTTAAACGCAGTTGGAGCAGAATATTCCTTAGACATTGATCTTGTGGTCTCTTATTGGCAAGCATGAGTTATATTTTACAATTGTGAGTATTTTTAACCGTTTTTATTATTCAAATAAAAATGATTTCACGCAAGGAAGTGGCGCTTTGTTGCTATTATCTTTTATAGATTTAAGCCATTCCCCAAACCATAATTTTTATATTTAAAAGATTATTAAAACGGTAAACACCAAATATTTAATCAAAATATGTGTTTTCTGAAAATACACTGGGAAACATTTATTACACAATAATAACAAATAAGTGATCTGCGCCACTAAATGTGCCATGGAAGCTACAAAGCACTTAAATCATAACATGTGTAATACATAAATAAACAACAATATATGTGCCGAGCTATTAAAAAGATAAAACTGTGTTATGAAATAATGTATACATCAAACAGGTACCATAAAAGGCACATGTAATCTCATCCACGTGCAAAATCTAGAGCTCAAATGGATACCAATCCTTAGTATATCAATAAATATAGTAAAATGCAGCAGAATTCAAAAGTGCAATCAAAACATACTATATGTATGAGTCTATCTAAACTATCACAGGGCACGAAATAAAGTGCAAAAAAGTTCAAAGGTGTAGTGAGTGAGTGGTGAGCTTAAGGTGGAGCTTCTGACGTCACTGCAGCTACAGCTGAATCTGCCCGGGAGGACGGATCGGTATCAGTGCATCTCCTCATTTATACTGTTGTGGAGTTTTTTTTCCCTGTAAGAGAGCATTTCATGTTACATGCCTATTTTTGATGGTTTTATGCGAGTACCTTTTTAATAATAAAGAATTGCTTATCTGGATGGTACGCGCTATGTTGCTTCTGTTTTTTCTTTTCTGGGTGTGTTGATTCCTGTGACTGTGTTTCGAGAGGATTTCTGTTTGAACGTTTAAAAGGGTTTCCCTCCCCTTTCTGAGAAGGGAAATGCGCAGTGAGACCTTCCCTGGGTGTTCATTACCAGGTGAGCACCCCTCTGCACTTGTGTGTTCACTGGGTCTATGTGGTGAAGGATTTGAAGAGACTTCTGATCAGTGGCTTCCTTATAGTATGGAAAAGGATTTCCACTTTTGGATCGGTGGCTCCATAATAGTGTTAAAAACGATTTTAACATGTGGATAATATTAGATGTGTGTTCACTACACCTTTGAACTTTTTTACACTTTATTTTGTCCCCTATGATTGTTGGGATAGATTCATACATATATTTATGTTTTGTTTGCACTTTTGAATTCTGTTGCACTTTACTATATTTAGTCATATATTAAGGATTTATATCCATTTGAGCTATAGATTTTGCACGTGGATAAGATCATGTGTGCCTCTTAAGGTACATGTTTGATTTATCCATTTTTTCATAACACAGTTTTATCTTTTTAATAGCTTTTTAATGGCTGAGCCGTGCTGAAAGCTGAAGCTGGCCGAGCGGCCGGCCATTGGCCGGCCGCTCACTGCTAACCAGGGACACTGATCTCCAAACAGCAAACTCTCCCTGGCGCCCCGCGAGTAGACCCCATAGAAAGTTTCAGTTTCATTATGCTCATTTGATTATCTTTTTTTTTAGATGTGCAAAAAAAATCATACATCCCTAAAATTAGTTTAAGATAAAAGAATCATCAAATAACAACCACAAATAAAAAGACAGCTTTTATAAATGTCCCCTATTATATTTTCCTTTTTTAAGAACTTTTCAATACAGTCCACTCAAACCTTGGCTTTGTCCAGTTTGGTCCCAGAGAGTCCCATAAATCAAGTTCATTTTCATCTAAACACTCTTTCAAAAAAGCCACCGCTTCTTCAGTTAGCATTGGACTCTCAATTCCAGCAGCCATATCCACGCCCCCAGAACTGTCCATGAGCTGTTTGCAGAAAGAAAATAGAACGTTTAAGGCTCAGGAGAGTAATAAAGTGTACATTAAAAAGTGTCATGTTTTGCCCGCTCCCAGTGACTCGCTAACAGGGGTGGGTTCCTCATTTAGCGGAGGAGGGGAGCACTTACTTTGGGCTGATAAAACACTTATGAAACAATAGTCACAATGTGTAATACCACTGCCTGCTACTGAAAGTTAGCTTCCTGAACACAAACACAGATACAAATCTTACATGCAATCTAGTGCACCCTAAAGCTGGTCATACACCTGTCAATTTCTTTTGTTCAACCCGCTGGCTGAACTGAAGAAATTAACGCAATTCCTCCATCAACAAACAGTGTGTCGATCGAAGGATCAGCACTGTTTACATTATATTCTGACAGGTGTGGCACCTGTCAGAATACCAGATCAGAGAGATTTTCCAGCCAGTTCCTTCGATCAGCTGACAGAGAAATGCCACCTGGAAGGGAGCTGATAGCCCCACACACTGTGCGAATTTTGGGCAGTACATTAAAAAAATTCCAAAATACGGCCAGTGTATAGGCACCTCAAGGGCTGTAAAGCAGGCAAGTGATTACCACAAATGTCTGCAATTCCTCAAGCTATCCTGCATGCTCAGGACCGGATTTACTCTCCCTGCTGCCCCAAGGCCAGGTTCCTCAATGCCAACCCCCCCCCACCCCCATGGAGAATGCCAACCGGATAGCGGGGGCGGCATGGTTAGTTTGAATTTTTTTAATGTTTCTTTAAACTTTTTTTATCACTTAATTTTTTTTATTTATTTATCTTGTCATCTTTTAATTTTTTATAATTTATAATTTTTTTTAACTTAACTTTATCGCTATCACACAGGAGCTAACAAGCCTCTGTGTGATAGCATTTGGAGGTGACAGGTTCTCTTTATTGACCGTCACCTCCAATACAGGAATTCTAGCATAGTACTGTGCTGGAATTCCTGTCACAGGTTAAAGGGGAAGGCATCTCTCCCCTCTCACTGTTTACATGGAGCGGCAGTGTTAGTTTGAACCCTGCTGCTCTGCTCCCCGCTCTCCATCCTGAAGCGGCCAGTGAGGAGAGATACTCGGCGGCGTCGGGAGGACAGAGCCAGGAGGACGGAGCCAGCGAGGAGAGAGGTAGGTGCGGGGGGAGGACGAACCGGCTGCAGTCTTATTATTATTATTACATAGTATTTATATAGCGTCAACAGTTTGCGCAGCGCTTTACAATGTAAGGAAGACATTACAATTACAATACAATAAGATCACTTGTAAAGAAACAAGTGGTTTTCCCGTTCTGCATTGAGCCCTGCTTGTGCAAAGCAGGGCTAAATGTAGAAAACAAATTACCGCCCGGCGCCAGGAACTGAATGTTCCAGACGTCGGGAGATTTCAAACCGCTGCCGCCACTCTGATCCCTGCCACCCCGAGGCCGGGCCTCGGTGGCCTTGTGGGGAATTCGGCCCTGTGCACGCTAGAATCTTTGTGTTACCACTTTCCTACTGCTCACACCCCTACACACACCAGACACACGACTCACAGTAGTCTGCCACCAGCTTCAATTCGTCAGCTGACTGGTCTGCTAGGAAACCATACACACACACGCACACACAGATGCCATCCTGGCAGATCTGTTAAATTGTACACACTGACGCTAATGTGCATGCAATCCACAATCACACAATGCAGACACTAGTAACAATGACCAATCTCTCCAGGAGTATAAATTCTTAGTTTAGTACACAGAAGACCATTTATTCATTTTATAGTTTAATATCCTTAGGTGGGCAGTGCATAAGAAATATGTACAAAAGTAAAAAGATAGACAATGGCATGCAAAAACTATAGTTATTGGCTATACAATAAAATAGGAAGAAAAAATAAATAGTTACCACTGGGCAGTATTAATCTGTAAACGCTGTGTCTTTGGATACACTCTGCCAGACGAATACAATGTTAATAATTCAGGCTACCCAATTTATTAGGATATGGATGTGAGACGGGCTCAAGCCCAGACTTTTATGGTATTTATTTTTGGTTTTTGGCCCATTAGTGCTAGTATTAGGTATGTAGAAGTGAATTGAATGAGAGATTGTACCTTTCTTTTTATTAGCATGTATCAGCATATATGTCATTTCCGGGGGTTTCTTCCGGTGGAAGTGATGTTGTTGATTTGGATATGCATTTGTATATAGAGTGGCAAAAAAAGTATGTTAACCCCTTGGAATTAACTGGTTTGCTGCCGCACTGTTGGCTGATAGTCTGCGGTGTAGTGGCTGTTTTATGCTGCGGAATACAATTTGCCATGCTGTGATTCATCTATATTGATTTTATCTGTTGATTTAATAAACATTTTTACCCTAATGAGCATTCTTTGTGTTTTAATGCTACAAATTCAGAGGGAAATTAAGGTTGGAGAGCTTAAGTTGAGGATGAGGTTGGAGGTTGGTTGGAGAGGATAAGGAAGAGGGTCCAGGCAAAGATGGAATCTCTGTAAATGGTGCGATCAGCTGTTACCTACGAGATCAAATTGGGATAACCAGATGCGCTATTGAGTTTGTCAAACAAAAAAGGTTCGGGCTACCTATAGAGTATAGGTAGTCCAAGGGTTAATTTAAAGATCGGGACAGACCAACATTTTTTTAAAATTTGTTCTTAGAAAAAGGATTTATTCATGTAAAATTGGGTAACAGACATGGCCAATTACTACTTACCAATTACTACTTTGATAAGTAGTAATTGGCCATGTCTGTTACCCAATTTTACATGAATAAATCCTTTTTCCAAGAACAAATTCAACAAAACTTTGGTCTGTCCCGATCTTTAAATGAACCCTTGGACTACCTATACTCTATAGGTAGCCCGAACCTTTTTTGTTTGACTTATGCTTTATATCGGTTATTGATCTGGTAAGACGGACCCACATCCAAGAGTAAAACATTTAGAGCTATTGTATGTCCAGAAGTAAAACAATCCCATTTTTTTTGCGCTATGGAACTTGATATTATATACTGGGTCACACTTTTTCTGGTGAGTGCGGAAGAAGGTGTGGGGTAGACATGTACATTCGGATGAACTTGCAAATCAATTAAATTCCAATGATTAGGCGGTTCGTCCGGGTTCCGAAATAGTGAATTATTATATACCGAAATATACGATAAACTGTATTCTGGCATATATTAGTTTACAGAACACACGGTGGCCATATTGACCACCAGTGCGTTCTGTGCATGCTTGCTGCCATCTTAGATCTTATCTCATACGTGTGTATGGGTGCCGCCATCTTGGATACGTATAACATTACCCGACGCCGCGCAGTGCTTGCATGGTCAAGATAGCGGCGCGCATGTGCAGAACGATATGGCCGCCGCACGTTCTGCTGTTTAAATGTGTGATTTCGGATTCGGAGGTTCGTTGCCTCCATATCCATAACGGCATAATTATTTGTTTCATCAACCAAAACAAATGAAAATTGTTTTAATTTTTAATTTGTTTCGTCCGAAATTAATTTTTATGCTGTGCACAGGTCTAGTGTGGGGTACACAAGTGGTGTGGATTAAGTATTGTTCACTGAAGATCTAACAAATATTTTGTGGAAATATTGGATACATTGGACTTCTTTATTACTGTTAGTATTTGATGTTTTGTACATGGGTGAGATATGTACACTGAAGGATTACTAGTTTGTTCAATGTTGGAATGTATGATAACTCATGTAGGGTTGAACTTATATATGGACTATTGGTTTATATTGACATTTTGCTGTGCAGTTTTTTCAGTTATACTGTATATCAGGGGTAGCCAAACTCTGGCCCTCCAGCTGTGGTGAAACTAAAAATCCCATGATGCATCTCTCTCTGGGAGTCATGTCTGTGGCTGTGAGAATCTTGCAATGCCTCATGAGATTTGTAGTTTCACCACAGCTGGAGGGCCGGAGTTTGGCTACCCCTGCTGTATATCCTAATAAGAAATACCCAGCTTCTAATTTATATACTAATAACGTATATTGATAATTGTTTTCACTATCTCCTAGCGCGGTCCTGGGTTTATTTATTTTTTTGTTGAAGTCCACTCACTGCATGGCTGCTGCAAACAGGCCCCAGACCCAAAACCAGCAATTTTATATGGGCACATAGCTTGTATTATGTTTCATCAGGGAATCGGTTTCATCTCTCTGTGACTGATATGTTGAATGTGATTAGAGGTGAAATATAATTTCTCTGACGTATGGAAAGGACAAACGTTTCTCAGCGGGGAGCACAGTGTATATAGATCTCATCCCCTGCACATTTCCGGGGCACGCCCCCTTCATCAGAACATCATGTTCTGATGAAGGGGCGTGCCCCGGAAATGCGTCAACGTCTTCACACACAGGAATTGTCTAGTGGATGTCTTACTGCATGTCAGCTCCCATCCCATGCCTGTGTAACACTCATGTTTGTGAGTACCATTTTATCTCTTTTTCACTTCGTGCTTATTGAAATAAATTGATCTGCACTAGGAAAGGCGCCCCCTTTGTGTTTACTTTTCAGAGTATTTATTTATTAATTATATTGGTTATATGTGATCTATTTGATATTTAGCACTATATTTTTCACGTATTATGATTATTGATTAACGCAGTGCATTTGTGTGATCTACTGAGAGTATACCGAGTGTTCTGTGTGTACTGACTGTGCTAAGAGTTAAAAAAAAATATTTTTGATTATTTGTGGGTGCACTTTGTAAAAAAGTATATTACTGACGTGGAAGAATCACACAGCAAAAATGTCAAAAGCGTGTCAGTCATTTACGAACAGAAACTAAAAACAAGCTCAGTCATGAAGGGGTTAATTGTACTATTGACTGGGCATTAATTACATTATCAGCTGGCAATGTTTTTGTACTATTGGCTTGCCATTAATTAATTGTACTAACAGCTGGGCATTAATTATATTATACTGTCAGCTGTGCACTAATTATATTATCTGCTGGGTATTAATTGTACTATAG